AAAAAAAAAAAAAAATGACATTATGAATTTGAATTAAATAAATATTATTAACTAACTAACTGTTATCGAATTGCAACTGTGTTCAAAAACTTAAAAGAGAAAACAAAATCAAAAAAATATAGCGTGTGCAAATCAAAATTCAAATTCATAACAAAATAAAAACCAAACATAAGGATATATAATTTTTCTAGACAAAATCAAACATACACTTACGGCACGTTAGGTCATTGATCTATATTAATAAGTCAAGAAGTCAAGTGAGCATCTCCAATATTGTAATGTGAGTTTGTTAAAAAAATGAGTTACACCTGGGATGAAGAGATTTGTGAATATAGAAAAATGAGTAACACATAGGATAAATTGAAAAATATAAGTGGCTGAGTAACACATAAGTGGCTGAGTTTAAAGTGCTCTACTTGTGTTAGAACACGATTTATAATGATTTATGTTGAAAACACTAGAAAACTGAAATAGCAAGCACAACACAATATAAAAATTCTTCGGGGAGTTTCTCACTAACCCTCATAGTTCTTTCATTGATAACTCAATTCTGCACAACTTCCTTTCAGTCTAGCCACAACTTGACTCAAATCTACCAACTAATTCTCTGACCACTTCTCATGGACTTAACACTCTCGATTCCCTTGAGCAAAAGACAATACTTAATCCCTAAATACAAATCACAAAAGTATTGGAATAAAATGAACAAAACTAACTCAAAACTTGAAATCAAAATGAAGCTTGAATGCAATGAATAATGGGAACTTCAACATCCTTCAATTGATCTTCAAGTAAGATTTATATAGCATCCTTAGGCATGTGCTTCTTCTCCAAGTTCTTTCCTTCCTACGCAATTTCCTTACCAAAGCTGCAGATTTCATCATGAAAAGTGAATATCTCATTACTATTCATATCGTCCCTTTCTATCAAGCCATGCAAGTTGATATACTACAAAATATAACCATAATAAAATCATGCAATTCCAATACATATATATACAGTGTTTTGTGACCCGGACCGGACCGGCGGGTCGATCCGGGACCCGGTCGACCCGGAGCCGGAACCGGTTTGGGTGGGTTAATTGGACCGGAAAACAACGGACCCGGTCAAACCCGGTCAAAACCCGGCCGACCCGGCCGACCCGGGGCATCGACCCGGCTGGGTCAACCCGGTTGACCCGGTCTATATGTATTTTTTTATTTTTCTTTGTTTTTTAATTTTCTTTTTCTTTTTAAAAAATAAAATTATGTATATATATTTATAATATAAATACATACATATTATTACCACTTTAATCTACAAATTTTACATACAAAATATTTAAATTTGTTATTTTTATGTATATTTATATATCGCAAAATACTCTATATATAATTTTATAAATTTTAAAATTAATTATCCGGTTCAGCAATTGACCCGGTGACCCGGCGGTTGAACCGGTGACCCGGTGACCCGAAGACCTGCCCGGGTCGATTACCGGGCCGGGTTTAAAAACTATGTATATATATAATCCGAATAAATATAAATACAAATAAAAGAGAACTTCCCTTTTCTATTTTTATGCTTGCAAGAACATATTTTCAATATATTTTTTTGAACTTATTGTAAAAAATAAATCTTTCATAAATAAACTTTGTGACAGATTTCTTCAATGTAATCAATTAATATGGATGTGAATAAGATATGGCATGTAAAATATCTCAACAACTTGACAATGCACATCTATATCTATAGGGTTTGGTACACATCGATAACTTCTGCTAAAACTCGATACAATATAAACACATACTAGTACGATACACATATACTACACGAGTATTTAAAAAAAAAAATGATATTTTTACCACAAAAAAGAAGTAAAATAATTCATCCTTAGTGTTAAATTATAATCAATAAATGTATAATATAATACATAATAAAAACACCAACAAAGTGATACTATTTAGTGAAACCCGTGTTTCACACTTAAATTATCAATAATTATAATTTTTAATTATATTTATAAAATTGTATATATCTAAAAATATATTACCTACAACTCACTAAAATGATTGTTTTGTGGTATACTAATAGCTTTTTTTTTTTTTTTTTAATTGTGCATACTATTTTAAAATTTTATTTGACAATTCTCAAATCGGTTTCATAAATAAATTTAAATTTTACTTATAAAGATAAATGAAATTATTTCATATAGTAGAATGTCAAATAAAAAGTTGTAAAAATGATTACTTTAATATATCATATATGAAAGAATAAGTACATTAATATTTTTTTCTTAAATTGTTATAAATAAGAAGAATACATATTTATAAATAATTAACATATGAACTGAAAAAAAGTAATATATTGCAATTTAAGAAATAGAAAATTAATATGATTGAAAAAAAAAGAGAGAAAATAGATTTATATATGGTAATTCCATAGCCTTGGTGTTAAAACCAACTTGCACATGTGTCAATACAAAATACAGATTTATGCAAATTACTGGGAGCCTGCCATTTAAGTTCAATACATTTTAAGTTAATTATGGATATATAAACGAATAAATAAAAGAACAAAGTTTTATTCAGGATCGGTCAGGAAAAAAAAAAAGTTCTGTGAAAATGACAAGTTTTGGAGTTTCAAATAATGTATTGATTCAGGGTAAGATATTGGTTCCGGTCTATATTATAAGTCCTTTTGGTATTTGCAACTTATAATATTTTTTGTGTAAAACGCAACTTGAATTCCATGAACATTCATAATTTGCCCTCACCTAGTTATTGACCATACAATCATTCGTATAAATGGGCACATGTATGGTCAAGATGTATGCGAGTATGCAAATTATGAATTCTCATGAAGTTTTTGTTGCATTAAATCTCAAAAATACATATAGTACAAATTGAAAAAAAAAATGATTTACCCATTTATTTATTAACTAATTTATTAATACAAATTATATGAAAGAATGACAAATTAGCATTGAAGAGTATTCACATTTATTCTTAGGCGACGTCAAATTTAGATCTTAATAAGTATTAGATAACTCACATCTCCATTGGAGATGCTCTAAAAGTGCATAAATTTATGTAGAAATCTCTATTCCATGGTTTACGTAGAAATGTCTATCCTTGAGAGGGCTATCTAAGAGTGCATGAATTTTTGTCGAAATCTCTATACTTGATAGAGGCAAGCCTTAAAAAGCCCTCCCAACTTTTTAACTTAATAAGATTTAAATGACTTATATCTCCTCGATTATCAAACGAGCCAAACTGAACTCAAGCCTTAATGAACTGAACCCACCCATTTCGTTTTTAACTCTAAGGATCATTGGTCATTTTCTTTATGATAATCTTGTCATCGTCCACACTAGAAAATCACGTTACGAAAATCTTCCGCAAACTGATAAGAAAATTCTTTCGAGGATTAAGCTGAAGCGAACGTGCATAAAACAAACGTTTTAAAACATCAGAAATTGCTACGCTGAGGGCAACTCGAAAGAAAAAGAAATCCAAAAACAATATCATCGTGAAGAAAGTAAATTCTACCAGAACAACATTTTGCTCCTTGGAAATGAAAAAAAACTATGAAAAGTAGGACTAATTTTCTGAATCCTGCAACTTTTAACCCTCATTTCGAATATACAACATTTGCTCCAAGAATTAGTACCTATCAATCAAAACCAAGTGAATGTAGCAAGCAAGTTCGCCACAGAGCAAGTTTCTCATGCGATTTTGAGGATAATTGAGCCCTTGATTTGTCTCTTCCTTTCTTCTTGAGCCAAAATGGGATCTTTATGCTCATCTCCATTTTTCCTGAAGATCTTTATTCTCCGACCAGACCCATGTAACAAAAATGGCCACTAGCAGGGCAACAATCGTGATCAGAAGCAGGGCATAGCTAAAATCCTCAGTAAGAGAGTCATACGTTCTAGAAGGTGCCAGTTGGGTGAAAAACAGATCCACGCCGTAGGCAAAAACGAGGGTGGTTGACTCGAGTTTAGCCGGGACTGTGGCTATCCCTCTCAAACCTTCTACCTTAAGAGCATGCGTCACATATGACTGCAGAAATGGAAAAGGGAGTAGGATTCAAATACTATAGATTATACTAGCACGAACTCTGGATAATAAATGAATAAATAATAATAACAATAAAATGAACAAAAAAGGAAGAACAAGTCAATCACCTGAGGAATAATTGGTAAGGAATCCGTGAGAGGAATAACTCCTTCCTCTTTCTCGGCCTGAGTTGGATTAAGTGTTCTCCGAGGATCCAAAAAGCGTTTATCAAGGGCCAAAACCTGTTAACAGATAGAAAACACGAATATGATTACATAATTGAACTGTTTCCAGAAATTGTGTAGAAAAGGAAGATGAGTACAATGGGGACAGTGCAAATAACACAAGTAATATCTGAGCTGGTTATTAAGAGGCTGACCTGATCACCAATTGTGCCAAGAAGAACTTGCTTTGAAGTTATGCCTTTGGCTGTGGATGTTACAGCAATGGTTTTTACAGAATGTGGGAAGAAATAAGACTGTGACTTTGTGAAGATGTCTGGCCGGGAGTAAGCTGTCACTGGAGAAGTAAGATTATGAGTCCCAAGAACAAGCTTCAAGATATCTTTGTTCTCCTGCAAATGGTGAAAATTTAAGTATGTAAAGACCCAGGAGATTTTTTTTTTCCCGAAAAACCAAAAGAACGATAAAGAGAATAGAAAAGACTCAGTAGAAGATTATACCGCACGAGCTTGGTCGTAGATTTCAATGACAGACATCTCATATCTGTGTGCCCTTAGATTGAAGTAGTGATAGACAACCCAATTCTCGCTAAAGACCTTCAGAAAGCAAAAACAACGATTCATTATTCAGTTTCCACAATTAAGAAGGATTAAAAGATAGATGGGAAGCTTACAGCATGTACTGGACCCTGTGAACCATGATGAGTCATTCGGTGCAGTATACGACCTGTTATAGTGTCGATCACATAAACAACTACAGATGACTCGTCTGGGGTAACTGAACCAATAGGACCAACAGCTTTAGGTGTAATGGTAGCCAAAAATAAAACATTCTTCGACGTGTATTTGTACATCACTTCCTGATCCGCTGTCACCTTAGCTTGAGTATGAACAACCTAAAGCAGAAAGGAAAACCATGTGTGGTGAATTTAAAGAAAGAAAATCATCCAGTAGCAAAAGGTTTGAAATAACTGAAAAAAGAACATTACAGTCTTCATTGGTAAAATGGAAGATTTATAGCTAACCATGGTAGAGACAAGTTGAAAATTTTACCAGACATGATAAGGAGCATTAACACCATTTAAATTACAAAATTTTAGGCACAAATCGAAAGCTCAAGCATTGAACTCACTCAAACGATCACTCATCTATCAAAAGTTAGAAAATTATAAGAAAGTTTCATGATATAAACATCAGTCATGTACGATCACAAAAAATTCTTATGCTCTAACAAAATGGGAATAAAAGACAATGAAGCACCTCATTTGAACTCCTGGTAGCAGTTGCAATAATCGTTTCCGATTCTGACGGCAACACAATCGTCCATAGAACCCTTGAGTCATAACAGAATTCATCTGACACCTCAAGAACACATTGTTTCCGCACCCCGTGACCCCGTAGAAGATTTTTATCAGTTTCAGCTGAGTACCAATATATATTCCCCAACTCCCGCTGAAAAATGCCAAGAGCCTCGGCACTTCTCGGGTACAAGTGAACGTGTCCATTTGAATCCAACAGCAAATGCAAACGTTGTTCAATAGAATCACTGAAAGGCAAGGGAATAATGTGAACAATCGAATGAGTGGGTCCCATATGGTTGCGCTCCTCCCCTGTGTACGTGTCCACAATAGAGAGAACTCCAGGAGCATTGGAATTTGACCCACATCTTCCAACAACCAAAATAGATGGATTCTCGTCCAGTGCATGATGGTGAGGGACCTGCCATTGATGCAAGCTAATTCCTCTGGGGTTTTCACATGTTTCTGACTTGCGAAGAGAATTCAGTAAAAGAGACCACACAATCCTTCCATCACCAGTGTGAAGCGCATAGAGTTTTCCCGCTCGTGTAAGTACTATGAGAAGCTTCCTGAAGCCATTTCGGTCCCGAGTCATCTTGCTTTTCTCAGAGCTTTGCAACCGTATTTTCTGTATGGCTGCCACTTCATCAGTGGTAGCTATCATCAGAGTTCCTTTGAGTTTCAACAAATGTCCCTATGGAAGAGGATAAATACAACAAAGAACTAATCAGATCACTCTTCCCACTTAACTAAGATACGACAACATTAGCATGTCAATTTATCAGTTCATGTCGTAGTCCATTGACTTCAACTACTATTATGCGAAAAGGTTTTTGCTAGGCTGTGGTAGCATAAAATAAATTTGATAAATCAGTGAAGTCCCATTTGAAATACTATGACATGTCATTCAAATTCTAATCAAATTTCTCAAGGTGTTCCTTATGTTCTGCACTTCTGTTATTTTATGTTTATGATACACGTAGCAGGAAAAATACAACCCCCGTGACACACGACTAATATGCACATGTTAATTAAAAAATAAAAAGGTTAAAAAAACTAGAAACGAAGAAGCTTAGTTAATTTCAAATACTTCTCACCTTAAGCCATTCAAACAGGTTGTGTTCCACTTTTGCCACAGACACACCATCTTTTTCAACTGGTAACTCCGAAGCTTTAACATCTATGATGGAAGCTAGTCCGTCTTCCCTAGTCCATACAATCTCACCTTGCTGTAACAGTAACAATGAATGGTCTTCCATGACAATCAAAGCCCTGAATCCATTTGACCGGTCTGTCCGTATATAGCTATTGAGAAAAACCTTATGCACAAGTCCCCTCTGACTATCCATCTGAGTTGTTTCCTCAACTAAACTTGATGCCCAATCATTACCGAGCTTTACAGTCAGGAGAATCTTACCATTTTCATGCTGAACCAAGGCAAAAGCTTGTCGACCATCCGAAAGAGAGAGAGCATCACTGACAGCATTAGCATGGTTAAATTTTCCCTCAACCTTCAACTTGCCATCAGTGGTAACCTTAATAAAGGTGAAAGAACTATCATGTTTTAAAATAAACAATCCAACAATTTTTGAGGGTAATATAACAGGTGTTCCTGAAAAGTCCTGGATGAGTTGAGAAACATGTGTCTCGTGATGGATGATTTCCCCATTCTGGAAAAGTATAGTGACTATAGTTGTTCCAGTAGAATCCAATGCCACTACTGTGTCATCTGTAACAAATGACAAGTCCCCAGAAAACCCAGTGGGGAACAACATGTTGTAATGCTTCAGAAGCTCACCACTCTTGACATCAACTTGATAAACATTAAACTGTGAGGAACCATGCAAACCTACAGCATATAACGTATCACTCCCATCTGAATAAATTAACTGTTGGACATCAGTGCTGCAATAAGATGAGGAGAAATCAGCCAATGTTTGGAAATTGGAATAATATGACAAAAAAAAGAAAGGATTTAATGCGATCATACTCTTCAGAAGCTAACTCCTTTTTCCAGATTATCTCGCCATCAATGCTTGCGACGGCATGAATAAAACCATTACCATAAACAAAGAGTACGTTGTCCTTGCCAACCTTCAGGTTTGTCTGCACCAAGCAATATCTATATATTATACCTACTTCCAACATACTGTCGAAGTGAATCGATGCAAAATAGAGTTGTAAACTGGCAACGCCGATCAACATATTTGAATAATAACCAGAATCACTTCAGGCATGTGCTAAACTTAACAGAAAATACAATCTTCTCACTTAACATTTATCAAAAAGTAGAGATGACATATAGCATCTCTTGGGTTTATCAAGTCACGCTTGCAACTTTTTCTTATTGGACGATTAGGGAACAAAAACAGCATCAGGGGTAATATGTTGAAAGGTAGGAATATCTCTATTCCTCGATGAGTTTCAATGCTACGCAAGTTAAGAAGGCAATCACGGTATCATCAATACATTCCCTACATCATAATGCAGTCTAATGAGAACCGAAACCCAGAGAACATAAGTGTTTAGTTCCAAGGTTGTACACTGACTGAATTGTTTCAAAAATGCACTCACGTATAACAAAAGATTTCTTTAGTACGAGTTAAGCAATCAAAGACCCACAATACAGCTTGTGGGCTGACTTAATCAAAAGGTATCACTTTTCACTCACTGGAATTAGCAAAAACGGCTTTGAGGGCTTTGAGCCTGTAAGTGACGATTCCCACACCATCTGGCCATCAGGAAGGTTCCAAGCTCTTAGGACACTTCCTCCAGAAGACAAACTAATAACATCTGCAAACATGCAGAAATATCTATCTAAGAACCATATATCCATCTCCAACACATTGTCGAGTAAATTTATATCATGCTGATCAAAGTTTCCAATTCTCGTCAACGGAATAAAGATTTGGTAATCCAACTAATAGAAACCATCCAAAATTCAATCTTTGTCCTACCAATCCTTGAATCATCTTGCTTGTAACGATTAAGAAACCAGCAAACCTCAATAACAGATTGAACAAATTTCTCTGCAGAAGAACACACAAAAACATAAAGAGAATTGAAGGCTTACATTTTCCAAGCGCAATGTCTATCTGATCGATGACATCATCCGGCCCCAAAACATGCCTCCAGACTGCACCACAATCATATCATTACTTAAAAGTAAA